CAGCGGTGCTTCTGACTGAGCCCAGCCCAGTTTGATGACTTGTTGTCAGTGTCGCCTGGAGGATTTCCCCCGGGACACCATCAACAGGTTCTACGTCACAATCACGCCCCCACAAGAGCAAGCTTCTGATTGGTTAAAGTGGCGTGAATGTCCGCTGAAGTTCAGATTTTCGAACTCGAGAGATTTGCACGAAACGCTCGTTAAGCGCGTCAAACGCGAAAAACGCTCAATTCGCCCACGCACCATTCGCGCAATTCTCGTCATTCGCGCCGCGCCATTCACGCTTTTGGCCGCAGGATGTATATTCGCACGTTTGCATTGACTTAACATGTAAATCAATCGCGCTTGACGCGCGTTCTGCATCTGGTGTGAACGCAGCATAAATGTGATAATAATCAAATGACCCTTGAATATTTTTAAAATAGAGCTTTAGTAAAAATAGAGCACTTATGGACATATATTTCAACGTTTAAATCAGCCGCAGAAATAATCTGCATGTGCATTACTCTCGACCGAGAAACCGAAAGTAACTTGAATATATAGTACAGGACTTTAAATGTCCAGTAGATGGGGGGACAAAACGTGGCTGTATGCAACTGCACGACAACGATTGTGATTCAAAAATATGTGTTTTGAGGGGCCGAATCTTGTTATATTTTTGACGTCAGTCGCGGGATGGACACTCAAATTGAAATGTTTTATTTAACAGTTGAATTATTTTTAATATATAAATTTGACTAAGCCGAAAAGTGAATGAATGAATTTGGATGCTCTAGTTTTGGACCGTCATCATAAGCGGTTTTGTTAGATGAGCTCCAGATTTGGCTTTGGTATCTGCACAAATCTGTTATTGTAAAGCTTCCTATTGAGCTTATTCTAAAATGTGGAATTGCGCCTGTTTTCGCGATTGTCTTAGAACTTTCGTTTCAGTCGCCTATGGGAGAAATGACAAGGAATAATAAACGGCAAAAACGGTCAAACCACTTGCTCTACAAACAAATGTTGGCATGAAAATACAGACCAAGTAGAATAATACAACAAGGAAATATCAGTTTGCAACATCAAACAGCGAAACGAGCAGTTTTTAATGTCTAAAAATGAATGGAAGTGAATGAGACCGGAAGTCTCGTGCCAAAAAGATTCAAATGGCAGCGCCCGCCCGTCTGCGGAGAATAAGGTCAATAGAAAATTATCATCTAAATAAAACAATAAAAATTTCATACATTTTTTGTTTCTCATGAATTTTGTTCTTTTAAAAGGTTTTATTTAATATTTTTAATAAGTTTATTATATATATATATATATATATATATATATATATATATATATATAGACCAAAGTTCTACCGTTTACCCACAGGAAGAGGTGATTATTTAAAAAAATTAAAAATAAATGTTAAGTTCCCAGGTTCTGAAGGTTGCAATGTCCCGAATTTTGCTTGCCAATTTTAAGGCAATTGTAATGGCTTGTTTTGAATCAATTTGGAATTTCCCAAAACAGCGCAGAGCCCAGAGGACTAGAGTGAGTGCTCCTGGTCCAGGAAGAGGAGATTACGCCGTGCACAGATGGGGCTCAACCTGTGCCCTTTTTTCCTCTTAGATAAAAAGCGTGCTTCAAAAATGAACTGAACTTTTTTTCAGCACATGCCCCACAGGAAAGTCTCTGCACGGTACTGCGTCACGCAGTGTCCGGTTTCACTCCACTTACTGTATTTTTACTTCCACCTACACTGAACTCACCCAGTCAGCTGTGTTGAACATTTTTTATGTCAAATCAATTTTTAGCATTTTTGTGTGCAGAAGATTAAGAAATAAGTAAAACTGGGTGTTTATAGTGGACAGCGGATTCACATTTTACTGTTGAGTTCTATGACTTTTTTTTTTTTGTATAGCCATTTCATTTATGAACAAAACACTTACAGTTGAAGTCAGAATTATTACCCCTCTTCAAATTTCTTTTCTTCTTTTTTTTTTATATTTTCCAAATGATGTTGAACAGATTGAGGAAATTTTCACAGTATGTCCGATATTTTTTTTTTCTTCTGGAGAAAGTCTGATTTGTTTTATTTCGGCTAGAATAAAAGCAGTTTTTAATTTTTTAAACACCATTTTAAGGACAAAATTATTAACCCTTTAAGCTATATTTTTTCTCGATAATCTACAAAACAAACCACTGTTATACAATAACTTGCCTAATTACCCTAACCTGCCTAATTAACTTAATTAAGCCTTTACATGTCACTTTAAGCTGTATAGAAGTGTCTTGAAGAATATCTAGTCTAATATTATTTACTGTCATCATGACAAAGAGTAAAAAAAATCAGTTATTAGAAATGATTTACTAAAACTATTATGTGTTGAAAAAAATTCTCTCTGTTAAACAGAAATTCAGGGAGAAAAAAAAATGCTCTAATAATTCAGGGGGGCTAATAATGACTTCAACTGTATATCTATTTAATATTCATATTAAAATAAAACCTAATCAAACAAAATCGTTATCAAAATTTACAGTTGCAAAATAACACCAAGAAGACTGCATTTTAATTCAGTATTATTATATTACGAAATTATTAGTAACATCATTATTTGAAAGATATTAAATAACAAATTAAACCCACCCATCAAGTTGCGGTAACACACTGTCTTAGTTCCATCCGATGGAGAAACTGAACAAAACATTATGAGATCATTAAATAGTAATTAATAAAACTGATTGTATTTATAGACAACATACTTACCAGGTATATGTGAAGATTAAATATAGTTTATTCAGGCTGGAACATTTACATTTAACAGATAATACAAGTTCATATTCAGAGCAGCATCAAAACAAAATAGATTGATGAAATAATATATAACTAAATTAAATAAACTTAAGTGAAAAGGTTTCAGGGGCGAGGCAGTGGCGCAGTAGGTAGTGCTGTCGCCTCACAGCGAGAAGGTCGCTGGGTTGAACCTCGGCTAAGTTAGTGTTTCTGTGTGGAGTTTGCATGTTCTCCCTGTCTTCGCGTGGGTTTCCTCCAAGTGCTCCGGTTTCCCCCACAGTCCAAACACATGTGGTACAGGTGAATTGGGTAGGCTAAATTGTACGTAGTGTATGAGTGTGTTTGTAAATGAGTGTGTGTGTGGATGTTTCCCAGAGATGGTTTGCAGCTGAAAGGGCAAGTTGGCGGTTCATTCCACTGTGGCGACCCTGGATTAATAAAGGGACTAAGCCGACAAGAAAATGAATGAATGAAAGGGTTTCAAACATACACTTTCCTTGATAAATAACTTATACCTATTCTTAATAACTTAATCATTTCCATACTCAGAAATGTCAATGTTTCAATGTCGAAAGAGAATACTTTAATAGTCTTAAGTCACAACGTGCAATGTTAATATCTTCAGTTTTAACATTTTCCAGAGAAGTCTCCAATTCATTCAGAGGATAACTGGAACTAAAAATACACTGCATTACCAAAAGGGGGAAGTGAAGTGACATCTCCCTGTCTTCGCGTGGGTTTCCTCCGGGTGCTCTGGTTTCCCCCACAGTCCAAACACATGTGGTACAGGTGAATTGAGTAGGCTAAATTGTCCGAGGTGTATGAGTGTGTGTGTTTCCCAGAGATGGGTTGCGGCTGGAAGGGCATCTGCTGCGTAAAAAACTTGCTGGATAAGTTGGTGGTTCATTCCGCTGTGGCGACCCCGGATTAATAAAGGGACTAAGCCGACAAGAAAATGAATGAATGAATGAGCAGACCATGTTCTGCTGTCATTAATATTTTAGTAAACTATAATGGGTAAAACTGTTCAAGATATGAACAAAAGCGAAGCGATGCATCGGACTTCGATTTAAAAATGGTTATAAAAACCCTTATAATCTTTAAAACAATTAAAAAAATAATTAGTTTAAATAATATTGAATGAAATAATGATATGACAGTTGTGGAAACGTTCTACTCCTCTGATTATCCGTCTGACTTTCTTTTTTTTGAGCACCCCTGTCATTTTAAAATATATCACACGGCGAAAATGGCAAGTATAAAAGTTCCGTTTCGTGAGGTGCGCACACAATGAGCAATTTTGGCTTTACCAAAGGAATCCCTCAGGTTTTTCCAAACTTTGTAACAAAAATTTCCTCCTCTCCCACGGCTGTTGCAATTTCTAGCCAGGAATGACTGATCATCTGGTTATCTCTATAATCACAGATCATAAAGATGTGTGTACAGTCGTACCTGTTTCAGACAAAATCTCTTCAAAATGACTCATATATAACTCAAATTAAATGAGGCGCTGCGTGAACTGTTCGCCCAAGTCTCAAAAAGAATAATCATGCACTCCGCCGGCCAAAATCAAGTAGCACACACCCAAAGCACACCTCCGCAAACACATCGATGACGTTACATTCGCCATGCGCACTCAAGTGAACTAGCGAATGCTAAAACCAGGCTTAACTGATCAGCAAAATAATACACTCTCTCTGAACATGTTGTGTCATGGAAATACAAAAATCAAATATTGCAGGATTCACTATTTATTCACAGATAGAAATAAGCAAAAACATATTATAATCCAAGAATATTTAGAGGTCCCTACAGATGTTTCTAGTAAGACCTTGATTTGCTAGCCTAGTTGTGTCTGACTGTGGTTCGAACTAAACTTTGCATGACACCAGCCAATTTTGGGCACCTGTGTGGTAAGGATGGGGTTGTGATTTTCTTAGGATTGGCTTTTAGGATATATAGTATTTATGGCAGTGTTTCTCAAAGTGTGATGTATATATTATATATATATATATATATATATATATATATATATATATATATATATATATATATATATATATATATATATATATATACAATCACACCGGTGTGATCACGTTTAGTTGCATCCCGATCAGCTGCTTAACCCAAATCTGATGTCCTGCAGTTACTCGTGTTGAGCCAGAGAAAGACACAGTCAAAGCTAGTCATAAATCAAATTAAATTTATCAGTATTACAAACAAATAACACAGATTTTTTTTTTTTTATATATACACATAGGTAATGGCAAAACTTTATTCACACCACATACACAATGTAACTAAAGCAGCAGAACTGCCACTCTGCCCAGTTTGTTCATGTTGATTCACATTTATTTGCCTTCAGTGTACGCTGGGGGAGCTTCTGCAGGAGGATGTTGAAAGCATGGTTCGGGGACTTCTTGAGGGTACTGAATGTACTGTTGGGGGTTTTCTGCAGGAGGGTGTTGAATTAAAGGATTGTTGACCACAGAAATCTGCAGGATAAATTGTACATGGTCAGCTTGAGTTATTGGTTGCTTATTTAACAATTATTGTCATATTAGCAGGGCTTGATTTGTGGCGGAACACTCCGGATCTGGCCCCTCTGAAATCTGATCCAGCACCTCATTTTATCGACTCCCCGCTGTTCACTTTCACTTTCTTCCGTGACTCCCCAACCCTCTTCACTTTCGTCCGCTACAACCAACCTCCACTCCATGGAGTTACATCCGCGACATCCCTATCTGCTATCCAACTCCTTGCTACCACCCCGACACTAATACATCCTCAGGTAGCAAGCCATATCCATTACCCCGATCTGTTCCGGGACTGCTCGATTCACAAATTAAGCACTGCATATTACCCAGTTCTTCCCACATTTACAGTACACATTAAAGGGTATATGGAATTTTACTTGGTTCATTCACAAATGGTTTTTGCTTATAGATGTGCTAAAACTGTTGTAATGTGTTTATTTACATGATTATTATCATACTGAATCTCTCCGAGAGTTGTCATGACAGAACATAGGTAAAGAAGCTGTTTCCTTTATCTTATCTGATGGGTTCAGCTGATGTATTTCTCACCTGAGGATAATAGCAGCAGGTGACTTTACACCCAAACGCAGACAAGGAGAGGGAGATGAAGAACTCAAGGATGGCGAACACCAGCAACACACCTCTGATTCCCAAGAAGAGAGTCTGAGAGAACATTCAGCATGAGCATTCAGGATAACAACGGCAACAAAGAGAAGTCAAGAATCTGTAATCATTTAGCTGCTATACTGATGAAACTAAGTGATGTTTAAAGGTGCCATAGAATAAAGATCTGGACATGCCTAGGCATGCGTTTTCAGTACATGCAAATGGCACACCTTGAGCCTCAAGCACCCTTGTTTTCTCATTGTCATGTAAATCATGTGTGTAAAATCAGTGTCATATCATTCAGATCTTACTGACATTTTTCTGTGAAAAGACACCAGTAAACATGAGAAACTCATCTGTTTACATGGAGCTTGACATTAATTCCTGCTTTTGTTTTCAGATTCATTAACCTACAAAACGGGCGACTTAGCTCAGTGGTTAGCATTGTGGCCTCACAGCAAGAAGGTCACTGTTTCCATTGCCAGCTGGGTCAGCTGGCATTTCTGTGTGGAGTTTGCATGTTCTCCCTGTGTTGGCGTGAGTTTCCTCCGGGTGCTCCGGTTTACCCCTCAATCCAAACACATGCGCTACAGGTGAATTGAAGAACTAAATTGGCTGTAGTGTATGAGTACGTGTGTGAATAAGTGTGTTTGGCTGTTTCCCAGTACTGGGTTGCATCTGAAAGGGCATCTGCTGTTTAAAACATACAGTATGTTCTCATTAAATACTCTAAATACATCCGTGTTGATTCATTTTGTCTATATCAGGGGGGTCTAAGCTGTTTGTACCAAGGGCCAGATGCAAAAAAAAAAAAAAAAAAAAAAAACGTTCCGGGCAAAAAATGTTACATACATCACACATCACACAGACACGCAAATATATATATATATATATATATATATATATATATATATATATATATATATATATATATAGATTTATATATTTATATATGTATATATATATACATATATTAGTGCTGTCAAAATTAGTGCGTTAACGCATGCGATTAATTTAAAATATTTTATTTTTTATTTCCTGTTGTGGTGGACGTGTGTTTACCGTGCGAAGAAACATGGATAAGACCAAGGAAGCACTTTCAGAAGGCAAGTTTCAGTATAAAACAATTAATGTCGCATTACCAGGCTCTCCAGAGTTTCATGCAATTTCGTATGTTTCATTTTTAACTTTCGACTTCTGTGTTAATGTACCGCATGGTGAACGGAAAAAAAAAAAACCCCTCTACATTTCGTGACTCGGTGGTCCTTCAAGGTAATCAAAAATCGATGTTTTACATGGTAGACTCGTAATAATTAATTATGATTAATTATCTTAATCATATTAAAATCGGAGTTTTGGTGTCCATGAACTGAAGTCGCGAGCTGTCAAATGACAGAGCACATTCCTTTGCCTTTCAGCATGCGCCCTTCAATGTGTTATTAAGTTTGACGTGTTCCCCCTTAAACGCAAGTGTCTGCTTCGCGTTGTTGTGTCAGAATCCTTGTGAAATACAGCCATACTTTAGAACGCTTAGTTTAAGCAAATTTGATTAACGCGATCATGCGTGTTGAATCTGAAGGGAGAAGCTCCGGCTGCGCTGTCCTGCGTGCGTTTCTCTCTCTCTCTCTCTGTGTGTGTGTGTGTGTGTGTGTGTGTGTGTGTGTGTGCGTGCGTGCACTAAATCAGAAAGTTACGAATTGCTGTGAGATTGCATTGCACTCTTTAGCTCCCATCATTCAAAAGAAAAGGTCCACATTGTCCCCCGATAATGTCAACAGACTCGACTGTTTTAGCAACTGGCTGAATGTAAAGGAGGACTGTGCAAAATTGTTTCTGCTTTATAATTAATGTTCTCAACTCACAGCAATACAACTTTGCATTGAGTACAATTGTTTGTATTCTATACTTTATTATTATTATTATAATTTTACGTTTTCCATATCTGCAATTCCTGTATTTTGGCATTTTTTTGCAGTCCACTTAGAATCCAACATGGAAATCAATGTTTTCTTCATTGGCATTGATTGTTTTGAAATGTAAATGTCATTAACATGCCTGTGTTTTAATTTCTATAATAAATATGGCGGTCAAGCAGGATCTTGATGGTTTATTGTGGGTATGTTGTTTACATGAAGAAATCTGTGTTACAAGTTAAAATAAACAATTATATTTTGAATTTAAATAGTTTTTGTCTTGTGTTTACATAAATTTTACATTCGAATAGCCAAAATTACAAGTTTCAGTCTTTTAAATGCGAATAATTTTCAAAAAAAAAGTGTGATTAATTAGTTTTTTTTTAATCGATAGACAGCACTAATATATATATATATATATATATATATATATATATATATATATATATATATATATATATATATGTATATGTGTGTGTGTGTGTGTGTGTGTGTGTGTGTGTGTATTATGGAATTATTTTAATTCATCGTCCAACTGTGTTTCTAGATGTTTTTAAAATCTTTAATCTTCTCTGGGCAAATTACAGTTGCAACACTCATCAGACACATAAATTCTCCTTCAGTGAAGGGTTTCCTGTGCTGTGGGATTAGCTGAGCTACCTCATAACTAGCCAGCGTAGAATTTTCTTGCACTTTATTAGCACGAAAAAAACTGCTGTTGTTGAGCTGATGGAGCAGCCGCTGATTGTTTTATTTTTTGATCCGGTTCGGCACCAGTGTAAGAGCTGAAGGCCAGGGGCCTCATGTATCAACGCTGCGTACGCACAAAAACATTGCGTACGCCAGGTTTCACGCTCAGAATCGCTCACGTTTGGATTTACTAACAATGAACTGAACGTGGGAATGTGCGCAGGTTCACGGCAGCTTTCTGGCTGGCGTACGCACATTTTTTGTGCGTGTCTGTTTTATTTCCATTGGCGACTCCTAGAGGCAGTTGTGTTAAATTCCTCTCTACAAAGTGTCTGATCCTTGCAATGGCAGCTGTATGAGACGGGTTCATCTAGTAGGTATGTAAGATTTCCATACCATACAGTTGACCAGCTAAACATTAAAGCACAATTTGCAGCAGTCGCCTGTTTTCCCAATGTAATCTGAGCGATCTACTGCACGCACATTGCTATAAAGACACTATCTGAAGATGAATTTGCATGCGTGAATCAGAAACATTTCCATTCAATAAATGTGCAAATAAAATATGATGCACAGACTTATTGATGATTCCTACTTGTCTTTCTCGTGATAAATAGTAGGCAAAATATGATATGTAGCGGGGGAAAAGAAGAAAGAGTTCATCAGACGCTGGATTCGAGCCGAGTTCATGCTCGAACGTGTCAGTACATGATGACATGTGTCTTACGAGCTGCGCCACTGAGACTGTTCAGAGTGCTGCAACATTTTACAGCTATAAACCAGACTATTTTTTTTTAAATGCACTCAGTGCGATGTTCAGACCCAACTGTGTCAACCGTATCAGCTAAACTCTGCCACTCTATTTTTTTTTCTTTTGTTGTTAATTCCGAAAAACAAACTTGCAAATAACACCGCTTTTCTCCGATCTACCTCCGAAAGCAGCACCTCCAATTCACATTCTGTTCAAAGTTTCTCTTTTTGCTTGATTTTGCCGTTGCTTTTTCGTTGGGTTTTGCCATTAGCATAGTCATTAGCATATTCATACGGGGGAGGAGGCAGGGAGGGGTTTTGTGCTCGTGCATGTTGCGCTCTTTTTCACGTTCATTCAGATGTACAAAAGAATATGCGTGACACTCGGCGTACGCAGTGTTTCATACATCTGAATTTTTTTCTGCGTACGCACATTTACAGCTTTGTGCGTACGCAATGTTTTAGTAAAATTTCCACGCAAGTCTTCGTACATGAGGCCCCTGATGTTTTGTTTGATAATGTCTTTTAATATTTTATTCCTTCATTACTGCAACTGAATCCTGGCTAATTAGACAGACACATGTTCCGCTGACCTCTGTGAAGAAATATTCTTTGCCCCAACGTTCTTGGTTGTGCCATGGCTCGCCAAAGCGTGGTTATCAATTATGTTTCAGTTCGTTTTACTTCATAACAAGAACTGCTGCCTAATTGAAGGCATGTCATATCGACACCCGGTGGTTATTTATTGAATTACGTTCATTTTGTATGGCGGGCTAGATTCTAGTAATATTTATAAAAAGCCTCGCGGTCCGCCACAAAACTGATTGCGGGCCGCAGATGGCCCGCGGGCCGTAGTTTGGACACCTCTGGACTACATAAACATAATTTAGCCTATATTTCCTGCACAACACTTAATTTAGGATCAGTTATAGACAGCTCTTCTCTTCTGTTGTCTTTTGACAAGAAATCTTCTCTACAGTTTTTGATCAATTTTAAAGCATCATTTTGCAAATGAGCTTATTAATATTCACGACCCTTCGAAATCAGGTAAGACTTTTCCATTCAAATTTCTTTGGTTGTAAATGGACCTATTGAGACTATACAGACATATATGTAGATATCAGAAAACAAGATGAACAGTGTGTCAGCACATTCTATGGCACCGTCAAGTCAATATGTGTATCCGGTGTAAATGAACAGCAATATCGTGTCAGGTTCTGGACAGCATTGGACAGATGAGTGCAGATTACGCTTGATTTTCACAAGTGCACCGGTCACACAGTGATCTTACTGTAATTATACAATATAAAGGTAATACAAAAATTATATTAATATAAAAGTTGATGACTTACCTTATAATTATAACAATAATAAGAGTCTCCACAGTAACGAGGTGAGAAGGGTCCAAGAGCCAAATCCACTGAAAGCATAATAATGGCAATGCCTGCAGCTATAGCACTGAAAATGTTCATCCCGAGGGAAGCTCTCACCTACAGTAGACACACAGAAATAGAAAGGTTTTGTAAAGTGTGTTAACACACTGTGGTTAAACTGATGACAGATTATATGGAAATTTCTGCTTCCAATGCACTATTAGTGCACACAAATATATATATTTATGTACAAATCCTTACAGAACAAATCACATGTGCCCAGTGTGTAGACCCATGAAAAGAGCAAGTGTTGTGTACATACCAAACATAAACCGGCTGGTGAATTAATTTTGCTGTCAGCAGCAATGGAGAGCGAGCCTGCAATAATGTACTGAGAACAGAGCAAAAAATAAAGCTTATGTTGGAATATATACAGATAAACACATGGTGCTCAACCAGAATGAGCATTTAACTGCCACATGAACTGACAAGAACCTTGCTATAACACATGAGAACCAATCAAAAACCATTACCCCACTGACCATCACGTTAATGTGGCTGTAAATGTGACAGTAAGATGTATTCTGGTTGATTACCCACTGTAGCTTGTGTTATCTAGGACAACATGCTAAACTGTATGATTGTTTCTTACTATCAGAGATCCCCAGTAAGAAACGCCGCTGAAGACAAAGCTGGAGTCTACATAAACTGTAGACACGATTCCCAACATAAAAGTCAACAGACCAATTATTATCTGGACAGTCTGTAAGGAGTAAGAGAGAACAGTGTAAGGACAAGAGAGTCTTTCGTGAAGTAAAACAGAATAACATGTACAGTTTTGATGTATTACAGACGTATAGGAATGAGTTTCGGTAAATACTGAAAATTAAAGGACTCAGACTCGAACTCAAACAAACCTTACAAACAGATTTGATTGATGCTACACAGTAAAACTACGAAGAATTACCCTCTATACCAGGGGTCACCAATCTCGTTCCTGGAGGTCCGGTGCACTGCAGGGTTTAGCTCCAACTTGCCTCAACACACCTGCCTGGGTGTTTCAAGTATACCTAGTAAGAGCTTGATGAGCTTGTTCAGGTGTGTTTGATTAGGGTTGGAGGTAAAATCTGCAGGACACCGAACCTCCAGGAACAAGTTTGCTGATCCCTGCTCTAGACTATAAACTGTGTGTTAATGTGTGTTATGCTAACATTAAAATTAATTGTCTGTGTTTAAGGGAGATTTCTCACCCCGAGGGCTTTTGGTTGGCCTTTCAGAAAGGCCTGAATTCCTTGAAGAGGTGAAACTCCTGCTACATGCTGTATGTAAACAGGCACAGAAGAACTGGTCCCAGTCACAGTTGGTGCTGTTTGTGTCGGTGGCTGAAGCTGGATGACAATCGTTGAAGGATTCATGGCTCCCACAGTCGACATTTCAGTTTCAGAGTATCAAATGAACCTGTACAAAATCAAAATAAAGCAAACATATCTAAATGATAGCATTATAAATAATACTGACATTCTACATTTTTGAGACTTTCCATAAAATCCAGCATAAATACAGTTCTGCTACAGTGGTTATAGACACTGGTCAACCATTTCCCTTCAGCTTATCTCTGACAGAATGTGTGTTTACATCTGAAAACATGAGCTGTAGCATTCAGGAATGGGTTTTTTATTTAGAGGTTTAACACCACATTGTTACGGTGCCAGATCTATTTTTGTGGTGCTGCTTATGTTTAACTAAACGGACAATGCATTGATCACCAAAAACACACTCAATGACTGCAAAACAGTAGCAATTTAACCAAGTATGTGCATTGGTAATCCACTGATTTCTAAATATTCAATCAAATTAACTTAAAAATACCACAAAGATTAAAGAGAAGATCAAAACTTCATATAATTTTTATTATAATATTTTCACAAGTTCCAAACTAATTTGATTCATTCATTCACTTTCTTTTTGGCGGAATGAACTGCCAACATATCCAGCATATGTTTTTGCAGCAGATGTACTTCCAGCTGCAACCCATCTCTGGGAAACAACCATACGCACTCAATCACACGCACACACGCAGCAAACAAACTAGCTGACTCAATTCCCCTATAGTGCATGTGTTTGGACTGTCAGGGAAACCGGAGCACCCGGAGGAAACCCACATGAACACTGGGAGAACATGCAAACTCCACACAGAAACGCCAATTGACCCAACTTCGCATTTTAACCGCCTGCAGCGCATTGCTTTTCTGCTGCTGCAGGCTGTACGCTCATATTTAGAGTAGGCTTTGTCTGTGGAGGGCTTAGGGGCATATCTTGAAGTTATGGAGCAATGTTAAAACTATGTTGTTGGCTAGATGGCAGTGTAAATCAGTTATTAACGTCTACACCAACCCCAAACCCAACCATCACGGTTATAAACATTTATACATTCCCCAAACCTTAACCCAATCATCATCGATATTAATGTCTACACCTACCCCAACCCTAAACCCAACCATCAGTTATTAACATCTACAGCAGGGATTCTCAACCGGTGGGCCGCGCGATAGCCTAAAATGAACTCTTATTATAAAGGGTGTCACGAGATCTCGCAAGATTAAATCGCAACGAAATTTTCGTCGAGGTAAAAAGTTGTCTCGTGAGTTAAATGTTATCATGATGGACTGTGAGGGTGAAATTAGCATTGAAGATTGGAAGCAGGATTGAATTTGAACCACAAATCAAGTCCTTTGCATACAACTTGTAGGCTGGTTTCTGTGATGCACATGTCTCTCAGTTGGTCGGGCGGGTGTAACCGCTTTCTTTTCTCTCACCGGAGTGAGATGTGCAGAAAGCCGCATTATTGAAGTGCAGTACAGGTAGGTAAACGCGGCATTCAAACTATTACCATCATGTACTGTGGGACTTCTAGTTGAAGGAAGTTGGAGCTAAACTATGCAGGACTATGCAGGAGTTTGGACACCCTTACTATAGGGGAAAAGCCAGTCAAAGAGTTTGCTATTTTCCATTTTTATATTAACAAATATTTTGCAGTGTTTGCCTAGAATTCAAAATTAAATAAGATAAAACTATTGCATACATAAAATTATGGGAATAATTATGGAAATTGCATACAGAAAATATGTAAGTTCATTACAAGTAAAAAAAAAACACCTAGATTATTTAGCATTTTTACAATCTATTTTCCATTCATATATTAGCAAAATATCTGAAGACTATTCCATTCATATTCCTAATCAATAAGGATTTCTTTAAAATAGTGTGAATATCTCGTCTCGTTTTCGTGAACCTAATCTCGTGTCTCTTCTCATGGAGCAGGCGTCTCGTCACACCCCTACTTAATATTATATTATAATTTTTGGATTTTATTATTAATATGCTATAATAAAATTAATAAAGTAATGCACTGTCTCCTGTTCTGTGATTGATTACTTCAAACTAGGCACAAAAACAGCCTCATGACCGTGTCTGCAACTAGTACACGTCTCTTCATTCACAAATTATGCGTGAAGTGAAAGTCTCTCTTTGTGTACTTTTGTGCGAACTCTTTATTATATCAGCATAGTTGTCCAAATTAACGTCCTGTGGGTGTTTTATAACAGACGTGCGCCTATACAGGAGGATCTAGCGAGGCTTAATGGTGTTTCTGCCATAGAATGTAAAATAAACTCGCATATGAGCTTCAGACGCACTCTGGCAGAGCTGTTCACTGCTGTCAGCGATTTCTCAATGATGTCCAGCTGCAAACTAAACCGCCATCAGATTGACATGTTTCAGCAGATTTAGGGTGTTTTACTGTATTTTACATTTGTCTGTATATTTTTGAATAGTAGATATTCAGTCAGTCTAGTTTAAAGCAGAAGCTGCTCTTTTGCAACCTGTTGACCTGGTTTTCAGTAAATCTGTGTACATTTCATACAAACATTTTAGAGAAAATGTGAGACATGTGGGCCTTCAAAAATTTATCGGAGAAAGAAGTGGGCCCCGAAGCCCAACCATCATCTTTATTAACATCTACACCTTCCTCAACCCCAAACCCAACCATCAGTTATTAACATCTACACCTTCCTCAACCCCAAACCCAACCATCAGTTATTAACATCTACACCTTCCCCAAACCCAAACCCTCAGTTATTAACATCTACACCTTCCCCAAACCCAACCATCAGTTATTAACATCTACACCTTCCCCAAACCCAAACCCTCAGTTATTAACATCTACACCTTCCCCAAACCCAACCATCAGTTATTAACATCTACACCTTCCCCAAACCCAACCATCAGTTATTAACATCTACACCTTCCTCAACCCCAAACCCAACCATCAGTTATTACATCTACACCTTCCTTAACCCCAAACCCAACCATCAGTTATTAACATCTACACCTTCCTTAAACCTAAACCCAACCATCAGTTATTAACATCTACACCTCCTCAACTCCAAACCCAACTATCAGTTATTAACATCTACACCTTCCTTTAACCTAAACCCAACCATCAGTTATTAACATCTACACCTTCCTCAACCCCAAACCCAACCATCAGTTATTAACATCTACACCTTCCCCAACCCCAAACCCAACTATCAGTTATTAACATCTACACCTTCCTTTAACCTAAACCCAACCATCAGTTATTAACATCTACACCTTCCTTTAACCTAAACCCAACCATCAGTTATTAACATCTACACCTTCCTCAACCCCAAACCCAACCATCAGTTATTAACATCTACACCTTCCCCAACCCCAAACCCAACCATCAATTATTAACATCCACACCTTCCTTAAACTTTAACCCAACCATCATCTTTATTAACATCTACACCTCCTCAACCCCAAACCCAACCATCATCTTTATTAACATCTACACCTCCTCAACCCCAAACCCAACCATCAGTTATTACATCTACACCTTCCTTTAACCTAAACCCAACCATCAGTTATTAACATCTACACCTTCCTCAACCCCAAACCCAACCATCAGTTATTAACATCTACACCTTCCTTAAACCTTAACCCAACCATCATCTTTATTAACATCTACACCTCCTCAACCCCAAACCCAACCATCAGTTATTAACATCTACACCTTCCTCAACCCCAAACCCAACCATCAGTTATTAACATCTACACCTTCCCCAAACCCAAACCCTCAGTTATTAACATCTACACCTTCCCCAAACCCAAACCCTCAGTTATTAACATCTACACCTTCCTCAACCCCAAACCCAACCATCAGTTATTAACATCTACACCTTCCCCAAACCCAAACCCTCAGTTATTAACATCTACACCTTCCTCAACCCCAAACCCAACCATCAGTTATTAACATCTACACCTTCCTCAACCCCAAACCCAACCATCAGTTATTAACATCTACACCTTCCCCAAACCCAACCATCAGTTATTAACATCTACACCTTCCTCAACCCCAAACCCAACCATCAGTTATTAACATCTACACCTTCCTCAACCCCAAACCCAACCATCAGTTATTACATCTACACCTTCCTTAACCCCAAACCCAACCATCAGTTATTAACATCTACACCTTCCCCAACCCCAAACCCAACCATCAGTTATTAACATCTACACCTTCCTCAACCCCAAACATCAGTTATTAACATCTACACCTTCCTCAACCCCAAACATCAGTTATTAACATCTACACCTTCCTCAACCCCAAACCCAACCATCAGTTATTAACATCTACACCTTCCTCAACCCCAAACATCAGTTATTAACATCTACACCTTCCTCAACCCCAAACATCAGTTATTAACATCTACACCTTCCTCAACCCCAAACCCAACCATCAGTTATTAACATCTACACCTTCCTCAACCCCAAACCCAACCATCAGTTATTAACATCTACACCTTCCTTAAACCTAAACCCAACCATTAGTTATTAACATCTACACCTTCCTCATCCCCAAACCCAACCATCAGTTATTAACATCTACACCGACCCCAACCATCACAGTAATTAATGTCTACAGTACACCTTCCCAAAACCCAACCATCATTATTAAATGTACAGCCACTAGTTGTGGAGGCTTTCATACTTGACTCCTTGCCATTGTACTGTTATTTGCAACCCCAGGGGGGCAACAGATGAAGTCAGCAAGTGGAGTTGCATGAGTTGCTAAATGGATGGATATAGTTATATATATTAAATGACTTGGTTGTGGATACATTTGAGGAAAACTCATGAAAACATCTGGTGAAAATGTTCTCTGGTAAGTATTTCTACCATCTTGCCAACTACATCTCGTTGGATATCGATGACGTCAAGTATTTACTATAATTTAACATAGTATATTTTGTTTTTCAGATGAATACATTTGGTTTAATTGGATTGGAATACCACTGTTATAGAGGTTGAGATTTACATAATGTTTATTCAACATTTTTATTATATGATAAAACAGAGATACACTGTAGAAATATCCATAAAGTTTTCTGTATTTATTTTTTTCCATATTTATTTCTGCTTTTGAGTTTATTACGGGATCTTGATCTTTCCTACAACAACTGTTAACCTTGAAACGTTTGTTTTCTGCACATGTGTAATAGTGTGCGGTGCTATATTGTCTGGGATGGTGTTGTACTGTATATTACGCTACAAACACCCTGTAGTAAGCTGCAGCACATTATCTGTAATTTTGCACTTATTTCTCTAGATATTTCTTATACATTATATAATTATTACAAACAACTAAAATGTCAATAAAGTCACTTTGCTAAACTGTAGAGTTGAATTTTCAGCATCAGAAGTGAACAGAGCAGATATCAACATCCCATAATGCAATTCACAACCATAAATAAACACAAAACATGCAAACTGTACATTAACAGATCTGTTTTACAGTATAGAATCAGTGCAAAACCCGCAGGTCAACTGTAGACCCGGCCAGTGTGCACTCTCTCTACACAGCTTGTGTTGTTTTCTAGGCGTAACGGTCACATGTGTATTTACCTTGACAACACAGCACAAGTATATCTCACTTACATTTAAAAAGCCATTAAAGCTCTGCTTGTTACCAAATAAAGGGAATGCGTTCATTATTATTGTCTTACCAGAAGCAGAATCTCGTCTTCAGCCGTGCTTTTAGACTTCACTCTGTGGCTCGGCTGATATAAGGTTACACCAGCGCAGTGTTTCCAGTGTAATGGTTTCCCAGAAAGCAGGAGGAAGCAGGAGGAGCTTGTGTAATCATGATGGATGGCACAGCTGGCCACCATCTCATGGGATAGAGCAAACAACCAAACAGAAAGAAAAGAGAAGTATTCCCAGATGGAAATCTGATGTGCAAATTACAGTTGAAGTCAGAATTATTAGCCCTTAAAATTAGTTTTTCTTTTTTAAATATGTCCCAAATGATGTTTAATAGAGCAAGGAAATGTTCACAGCATGTCTGATAATATTTGCTCTTCTGGAGAAAGTCTCATTTGTTTTATTTCAGCTAGAATAAAAGCAGTTTTTAATTTTTTAAACATCATTTTAAGGTCAATATTATTAGCGCCTTTAAGCTATATATTTCTTTCAATAGTCTACAGAACAAACCATCACTATACAATAACTTGCCTAATTACCCTAACCTGCCTAATTAACCTAATTAACTTTAAGCTGTATAGAAGTGTCTTGAAGAATATCTAGTCTAATATTATTTACTGTCATCATGACAAAGAGAAAATAAATCAGTTATTAGAGATGAGTTATTAACACTATTATGTGCAGAAATGTACTGAAACCATCTGCTCTCCTTTAAACACAAAATGGGGTAAATAAACAGGGGGGCTAACAATTCAGACTTCAACTGTATTAAGAAATAAAAATTAGAAATAGAAATAGAAATTATTATCCCTCCTGTGCAGGATTTGTTCCTTTTCAGATATTTCTTGAATTTGCATTTATATTAAATTGATATTTAACAGATTAAGATATTTTCACAGTATTTCCTATAATATACATGTTTTTATTTCAGCAAGAATTAAAGCAGCTTTTAATTTGTTTAATTAATTATAAGGTCACTATTATTGGCCTCTTCAGCAATATTAGTGTTGGATTGTCTCCAGAACAAACCACTGTTATACAATGACTTGCCTAATTACCCTAACTTTACCCTAATTACCCTTGTAAAGTCCATTTAAGCTGTATAGAAGTGTCTTGAAGAATATCTAGTCTAATATTATTTACTGTCATCATGACAAAGAGAAAATAAATCAGTTATTAGAGATGAGTTATTAACACTATTATGATTAGAAATGTGTTGGAGAAATCTGCTCTCCGTTAAACAGAAATTGGGTGAAAAAATCTAAAATAATTCTGACTTCATCTGTAAAATGTCATATTTGCATATAATTATATGCAATTATAATAACATATAATTCAAGGTATTGCAAAAAAAAGTGCCGCTTATATATACACACACACACACACACACGCACGCACACACACACGCACACACACACACACACACACACACACACACACACACACACACACACACACACACACACACACACACACACACACAGAGAGAGAGAGGGAGAACTGCCTTAATTTTTCATGGCGTAGTTTCAACAAGCTACTGGAAATAATCCTCAGAGATTTTGCTCCATATTGTCATGATAGCATCACACAGTTGCTGCAGATTTGTCGGCTGCACATCCATGATGCCAATCTCCCGTTCCACCACATCCCAAAGCTGCTCTATTGGATTGAGCTCTGGTGACTGTGGAGGCCATTTGAGTACAGTGAACTCATCGTCATGTTCAGGAAACCAGTCTAAGATGATTGAGCTTTATGACATGCTGCGTTATCCTGCTGGAAGTAGCCATCAGAAGATGGAGACACTGTGCTCATAAAGGGATGGACATGGTCAGCAGAAATACTCAGGTAGGCTGTGGCGTTGACCATCCGAATGTGTCAGCAGAAATGGAGACTCATCAGACCAGGCATTATTTCTCCAATCTTATATTATCTTTTTTTTTTTTTTTTTTTTACTCATTTTTTATTTACAGTAAATAAATTCCAGCTTTTAGAGTAGCTGCTCACCGGAATCATACAAGGCGACACTGTTAGGATCACTTTCAAAATATATATATATATTATCAGCAAATAAACCAATAAAACAAAGACAGCCAGTCAGAAGAATCCTTTTATGTGCAAAAGCCTCATGCATTTAAAGCTACAGAAAACAGCAGTACACGCTGCTTGATATTAAGCCTTCTTTTCAAAGATTATTTAAAGATCATGACTACCAGAAAACAACTGATTATACCATGAGAAGTAATGATACATTTTCAGGGACGCTATGCAAGCCAGGCTAGCAAACTAAAGTTGAAAAATAAAAGCTAAAAAATAAAAGCACAGCTAGCTTCAGTGTTTTTGTGTTGCAATCATTTTGAAGATTTTTGGTTTTTCATTCAATTACACTGAATACGATTACTAAATTTGTCTGATTACATTAATAAATCAAATAAAGATAAATATTAACAGGTAAGGTGCACTAGTAACACACTAAGGACATCTGCTGGTTACAAGACGTTAATGCAGAATAAAAAAATGTTTGTTTTTTTAAACAATAAGTAAGGCTTAGTCAGTGCATATTACACAATGATGGAGTTATTCCCTGTACTGGCTCTGTTTTCAGAGTCAGATTTTGGTGTTGTCACACTCCTCAACCAGCCCCACATCATTGTTTGACAACAATTTAAAAGGCATCCTGACCTAGTAACTCTGCCATCCTGACCTAGTAACTCTAGAGTCACACTGCACTGTACCCTCACATCTACCTCACTTCAGTCTGTTACTCTAACATATTCTTTCTCAAATAACTCTATGTCTGACTATATCTAGTCTCCAGCCTTGCAGAAAGATAATCGAGGCAAACACTCTCCTGCTGAGAGATGAAGTGGAAGCTGTTTTCCCGCCAGGCACACTGAAACAGCACACATACTTTCAGTCCCAAACATTTGGTCAAACGTCTAACTTCCTCTTGTCTCTCTTTTAGTTTAAGTTCAAGTTGCTTTATTGGCATGACATTCAGTACAGTATTGCCAAAGCACTTCAAATATGAAATATATTAAAACCATCAAAAAAAAAAAAAAAAAAAAAAAAAAATATATATATATATATATATATATATATATATATATATATATATATATATATATATATATATATATAATACAGTAGATAAGAAATAATGACAAAAAATACAGAATACATTTAATAAATATTTCAATAACAAAAATAATACTCCTACTAATCATAATAATAAAATGTTTAGATTATTTAAATAAGATACATGAATTTCCATTAACCATTTCTTATGGTGCGTATTGTGTATACATATTTTACAGCTAGTCTAGATGTCACTTCATCCTCTCTGAGTACATGGTAAAGTTTTTTTTTAAATCATTTAAATTAAAACGAACTGATCAATGTTTCAAATTGGGGGAAAACATTACTCTAGTCGTGGTGTATTTAGGGCAGAATAGAAGGAAGTGTGTCTCATCCTCTATTTGGTTTGTGTCACACTGTTTACATATTCTCTGTTCTTTAGGAGTCCAGGATTTTTTATATCTGCCCTTTTCTATTTCTATGTTAAGATCACAGAGGCGATAGAAAGAATGTGCTTTTCTTTTAATTGTTTTAATGATAAAAAATTTGCCAGCTGTGTGGTTCTGTTTAGGGCCGAATAACATTAGTCTGTTATTTGGTTTAGTATGAAGGTTGAATTCAGTTTTAAGTTTTTCATCATAGTTATATTTTAATGTTTCGTCAATTTGTTTGTGAAGGTTTTGTTTGGGGATGGGTTTGCTTTGTGTTTTCAGTAGTTCAGATACCAGTGTGTTTAGAGGATGAGACACTGTAGGTTTTTCATTAGCCAGAAGGGCTTCATACGGGACAGACTGGGGGTCCGACTGATGCAGGTGCAGCCAGAACTGAACAGCTCGTTTCTGAATCTCCCAAGTTCAGCGGGGATAAACCCAGTTCAGCCCTGCAGGCAATGTTAGAGGTGTTTCTGTTGATTTGTAATTTGCTTTTTTTCTTCTTCTTTCAAACAAGAAGATTTATACCTTACCAGAGAGTCAGTGGTGATAGCAGTGGTGTCCCTCTCTGGGTCCGGCGGTCAGCCCCTCATCCCTCAATCTAGTGAGGGTAGGGTTGTGATTTTCTTCCAGGTTTTTAAGATGTATAGGATTTAGAGCAGTGATTCTCAAAGTGTGGTATATGTGCTGCTAGTGGTACACAGGCTTCATCTATTGCAGGTATGGGATCCTGGAAGGTCAGTATCCCTGTCTTCAAGATTATTAGAAAGCAACAGGCAAGTGTGTTTGATCAGGGTTAATGCAAATCTATGCAGGACACCGGCCTTCCAGGATCAAGCTTGCTCATCCGTGTTCTAGTGCTTCGCAGAGGAATCATAGAATTTTTATTGAGAAATATAATAACACATTTAACCCTTTTGACTCATTCAATCACACCGGTGTGATCACACTGTTCAGTTGCATCACTTGGTCAGTTGCTAAACTCAAATCTGCTTTCCAGCTATGACTGGAGTCAGAGAAAGATGCAGGCGGTGCTTGTAATAAAACACAAATCATCAGTATAAACAAAGACATGACTTTTATTGAAATACACATAGGTCATAGCAAAACATGAAAGTACAGACGTAGAGCATATCAAATACACCGTGAAATCTATAGAGAGGACTATAATAATCATTTTACACGTAATCTGATGATGCAGCAGCAGATCCACCGCTCTGCCCAGTTTTTTCATGTTGATTCTGTTATGATTTATGTTTTTTTTCCTGTTTTTTTTTTCACCCTCCTCTCCGTTTGCTCAACCCTAGGTTTCTTATTGGTTTATTATTCTGTCCATCATCATTATGACGCTCTCCGGTTCCACCAATCCCAGGACGAGCCGCAAGTATTTAAAGCCCTGTCAGTCCAGTGTGTGGTGTGCGCCCTGCCTCGGCGTACCCTTTGTGCTCCACGCAATTTGTTTGTGCAAATGCTTCGTCTATTTTGTGATCTCTCAGTTACTGTGATAATTCGAGTTGCTTGTTGAACTTTGTTGGCTTTAAGTAACATATGGAGATGATTGTGTGATTCTAAACTAAGATTTAACAAACTTATCCGGTTTGTTTTGTTTTAGTTTAGATTGATGTTTTGTTAGATTAGTTTGAGTGTTTTGCCACCCGTGTATTTTTGAGTTTTGTAGTTTGATTAGTTTAGTTCGGGTGTCGTACACACTGAAGATCTTAGTTTTTAATTGTGTTTCTTTTTGACGCCTAGTTTAGACATTAGATTTAAGGATTGTTTTGTTAATTTCTTTGATTTGGCTTACACTCGTTGTTCTTGTTTAAAGATAATAATTATAAATGTTTGTTTGTTTTTTCTCCCCCATTTATTATTGTTACATGTTTCAATTCAATTATTGAGTAAAAGCTTTAAATGAGAGTAACTGAACCTGGCCTCATTATTGATCTGTCGCACACATTACACCTGTCTCACTTAAATGTTACAGCATCCCACTTTACATCATAAAACACGTAACAATTCACATTTATTCGCCTTCAGTGTACGCTGGGGGAGATCCTGCAGGAGGATGTTGAAAGCATGGTTCTGGGACTTCTTGAGGACATTGAATGTACGTTTGGGGGATTTCTGCAGGAGGGTGTTGAATTAAAGGGTTGTTGTCCACAGGAATCTGCAGGATAAAATGTACATGGTCAGCTTAAGTTATTGGTCAGTGTTCAACAATTATTGCCCCATTACCCAGTTCCTCACACGTTTACAGCACACATTAAAGGTTTTGTGGATTTTTACTTCACAAAACTGAAATCATGCATGAAATCCAGATTCCCAATGTTTATTTTGCTAGCGCACATTGCTGGTCTTAATTCTGTCATGAAACTATGCGCATACAGGCTGTTAGGTCACCTAATTGGTACCTATGTGATTAGCTATATGGTGCATGAGATTGGTTGCTGTCGCCTCAACAGCCAATGAGCTTGCTCCTCAATTATTTAAATGATGTAGAGTGTTTCCAATGCTTGATCTGCCATAAAAATCAAAGCAGCAGCAGCGTAGCAGATCTATGCCACCAAGGCCAAACACATCAACATTACCATATGATTATTACCAAACTAAATCTCTCAGAGAGTTGTCATGACAGAAAATAGGTAAGCTGTTGCCTTCGCAATCTTTAATCAAAATGGTGAAATGATTAAATATGTCATCACATTGAAATAAAAGTCTGCAGCAACTTCTTGTTCACATGGACTTTGAGGGATTGGAGATTTAAGAGTAAAGAGTAGAAGACATACACAAACACAAGAAACACAAGTTTCTATCTGCATCCTAAGTGATCTTGAGATATTGAGCGCAGCATTCCGGCAAATTACCGGTTATGTTACAACTTCTCTTTCCGGAAAATATGCTAATTTATTAATATAATTAATATGTTGATCTCAGGTCATCATCACTGATTTATTAATATCATTTATATGTTGACCTCAGGTCATCATCACTGATTTAATAATATCATTAATATGTTGACCTCAGGTCATCATCACTGATTTATTAATATCATTTATATGTTGACCTCAGGTCATCATCACTGATTTATTAATATCATTAATATGTTGACCTCAGGTCATCATCACTGATTTAATAATATCATTAATATGTTGACCTCAGGTCATCATCACTGATTTATTAATATCATTTATATGTTGACCTCAGGTCATCATCACTGATTTATTAATATCATTTATATGTTGACCTCAGGTCATCATCACTGATTTATTAATATCATTTATATGTTGACCTCAGGTCATCATCACTGATTTATTAATATCATTTATATGTTGACCTCAGGTCATCATCACTGATTTATTAATATCATTAAAATGTTGACCTCAGGTCATCATCACTGATTTATTAATATCATTAAAATGTTGACCTCAGGTCATCATCACTGATTTATTAATATCATTTATATGTTGACCTCAGGTCATCATCACTGATTTATTAATATCATTAATATGTTGACCTCAGGTCATCATCACTGATTTATTAATATCATTAATATGTTGACCTCAGGTCATCATCACTGATTTATTAATATCATTTATTTGTTGACCTCAGGTCATCATCACTGATTTATTAATATCATTAATATGTTGACCTCAGGTCATCATCACTGATTTAATAATATCATTAATATGTTGACCTCAGGTCATCATCACTGATTTATTAATATCATTAATATGTTGACCTCAGGTCATCATCACTGATTTATTAATATCATTTATATGTTGACCTCAGGTCATCATCACTGATTTATTAATATCATTAATATGTTGACCTCAGGTCATCATCACTGATTTAATAATATCATTAATATGTTGACCTCAGGTCATCATCACTGATTTATTAATATCATTTATATGTTAACCTCAGGTCATCATCACTGATTTATTAATATCATTAATATGTTGACCTCAGGTCATCATCACTGATTTATTAATATCACCGATCATGACCTGAGGTCAACATAAATATGATATTAATGAATCAGCGATGATGACCTGAGGTTAGCACATTCATATCCAGTGTTGGGAGTAATGCGTTACAAAAGTAATGAATTAAAGTAATGTATTACATTTTCCTGTAACGCAGTAGTGTAAGGCATTACTAATACATTTTCAGTAATATTTTACTTAGTACATGTTCAGTAACGCGTGCGTTACAACACACTTTTCGGCCGCAAGACATTAACAAATAAAAAATACCGCAGTTCTATTTCCTGTTAGTGGCTAGAGCATATATGCGTGTGCTGTCATTAATCTCCCTCTGGCTATGGGACCTTTTTACTTTGAACGCGGAATGATTTCAGCTTCTGAGCTCAAGGTCCGGCGATATTGGCTCAGCCCGGTTCGCAGTACGCACAGCGGAAAAGTGGCAAATAGATGAAAATGGCAAAAGACAGTGCATTCACGAGACGGACGTACGTGCATATGGCGTTATTTCACTGACAAATGTCGTAAACTCATTCATGTAATACGAGCGAGTGAACGTGCCGGTTTCCTCTGTGGACAAAACTCCTCGCGTTCACTCAACACAGGCTGGGCTGCTCACGTGCTAACGACCTGCTCTCGCTCCGTCAGATGATGCAGACTCACAATCTGTGCCTTGTGTTTCCTCTTCCTTTCGTGCTGTTGCTCTACAGAGATCCTCCTATTTAATTGTTATCCCAATAATGTTTATATGGTTTATATATTGCTACACTATTTACTCACAGGTTAAGATAAATTCTATAATAAATACTAGTGTTTTTGAGAGTAAGGTATACTGCCTATGTTTTAGGCTAGTATTTACAATGAATGCTTAAGCATACTGTCGTGATAAGAATAGTGAACTCATAAAATTAAATATAAAGTGTAGTTTTACTACAGTAAAGTGTGGTGAATTGTAGTACAATCTACCCCATATTGTAAAAAAAAAAAAACTACAGCACTGGATCATTTGTTTATATTACACTACACTGTAAATTCTAACATGTTCAGTTTACTTAAAAAAAGTTTGGAAACCGATTGCCTTATTTTTGCAATATAAACTTACAAGGAAATCTTAAGTTAAGTTTAATTATTGCCTTGAAGTAAGAAAACTAAAACTTATAAAGTAAACTAACTGTTAAAAATTAAGTAAGTTTAATAGAAAATTCTAGTTAACATACTTGTCATTATTTAGTAATCTTACTTAGGGTTTTATAGTAAGATTACTTTAATAACTCTATTTAACTAATACTGTTCTACCATGTTCAGTTAACATCTTGAATGCTAGTAGTCTCAACATTGTTTTAATCCACCATTTTAAGTAATGTCAACTAAAGAAACTACGTGCAATCGGTTTCCACATTTTCTTCAATTAAACTGAACATAAAATATGTAGTTCAACCTACAAGTAATAACATTATACAGGTCTTAAATGTAAACATTTTATTTGACAAAATTAGCAGAATTTCACAATACACTTGTGATATTTTAGTATCACAATACACTTGTACACAATACAGTTTTGTAAAAACCTGTTGTAAAGTGCTGTAATATACTGTAAACAGCAATACAGACAAAAAATATAATAAACATGTTCAACCCTAAAACACAAGTTTTCGAAAAGGTTTGAAAATCTATCAAAAAAACTTTAAATACTTGACACTTGGAAAAAAGATACTTGAATTAGTGTAATTAAACATGCCATTGCACCAGCACCTTAAACATGGCAGCATATAGACACTCACAGAGGAACAGATATTAAGCTTTAAAGCTAATTTGTTAGACTGTGTAGTTTAGATTTTCCTACAGAAAATATCACATTAGTGTGGTCAAAAGTATTGAGTTTGGTATCAATCAATACTGAAATATTAAAAATATCCATTTTCCACCAGCATTTGAGTGCTACTGAGCTCGTTCTTAAACACCATTGATTGGCCACTGTGTTCACATGCTCAACAGAAATGACTGTGATTGGCTGTGACTGTCATAGGTTTACCATTTTTCACTGAGTCCAAACAAAGTTACACAGACACTGAAGTGTTTCAAAGCCATGTCGATAGCTGATTTGTTTAGAAGCTAACATATAAGCTATCTGGTGATGAATCGACTGATCGACAGTGCTTTGAAGTTATCCAGTGTCTTTGTATCTTTGCACCTGGTGAACAGTGGTGAAGTGTGGTAAAAATAATGACCTTCAAAGCCAATCAGTCATATCTACTGAGCATGTGAACACAATGGCCAATCAGTTCTTGCAATGTTAGTGGGAAATGGATGGACTTTTTTTTTTATTTATTTCAGTACCGATTGGTACCAAACTCAATACTTTTGACAACCCTATAAATCACAATACACTTTTTTGGTAAAAAAAAAAAGTGTTTTAAACACGAAAATGCTGCAGTCCTAAATGTAACACTGCAAACAGCAACATGTTAAAAAGCAACACTTTGTAATTAAACATGCCATTATACCTGAACCTTTAAACATAAAGCACAGCAGTATATAGGCACTCGCCGAATAAAACACATTACGCTTCCGTCCCAGCAAAAGCAACACACGTTGAACAAATTCAAATGCATTGCTCAAAGTCTTTGGGTAGTCCGAATTCAGTGTGTAAATCAAAGCAAAAAAAGAGACATACTGCATGTGGCAAAGTCCATAACCACTTTTCCTTCCAGTATAAAGGCCCACATTGCATCCATAATGAGGTTCTTTAGACATCTTCACACACGACAGTCAGCAGGCCAACATCTTCTGCACTGAAGTCCGACTCTACAATTACATCCTATGAATAGAGAAAGAAAAATAAGTAAAGTTTGATATTCTAAATGGCACTAATAAAGCCTGTAGTGGCCAGGAGACCAAAAGCAGAGGTGAAAAAAATACAATTCCTTGTGCTTAATTTAGTAACACTTTAGTAGGAACCAATTACCCTATTAACTAGTTGCTTATTAGCATGACTATTTGTGTTTATAGTACATTTTACATTCAAATGCTTCTTATAAGAAGGCCTTGCTATGGTGCTCCTTCTTCAATGTAGACCAACACGATGGATTTGCCTGTACTGCTTCTACTAGGCTTGTCATGATAGTGGAATTTATTACCAATCCATATAGTAATTTTAAAAACATCCATTTCCTGCTAACATTTG